AGGGTTTGGGGTTTTAGGTTTAGCGTTTAGGGTTAAGGGCTTTGCTAACCCTGATGTACCCAGAGAGCCCAACTACCCCTTAATTAAGGAATAGACCTTAAATCATAATATTAAGGCCTATGACTTAAGGTCTATTCCTTCTTTAAGGGGTATTGGGCTCTCTGGGTATGGCTTTCTTGCTTGAGGGGGCTTTGCTAGACCCTAAACCCGAAACCCTAAACCCTAAACCGGCTTTGCACATGTTGTTGTAAGGGCTTTCTTTTGGTCTTCCGGGCTGCTATCATTTCAGCGGCTTAGGAGAGGCTTTGAGGCTTCCCGGTACTTTCAGCCTTTAGGGCTGAGGGCCCTGGGGCTTTAGTTCTGCGGAGGGGGGGGGGGGAGCGCGGGTTTGAGGCTTCCCTGAACCCTAGACCCTAAACACCAAACCCTAGGGTTTCAATTGGTGTTTTGAGTCGGAGGTATCTTCCTTCAGTTGGGTTCCGAGGGGTTCAGGGTTTTAGGGTTTTAGGGTTTAGGGCTTGGGGCTTCATTAATTGCGGAGCATGGGGTTTAGGTTGGTAAAGGACACGACCACAAGGCCCTCTTGGTACAGCGAAAGGGTGGGGGTTGGGGTGGGCAAGTCTGCAGACTGCGCGCGCTCACTTAGCGCGCTCGCGTCCGACAGACCCTAGACCCGGGACGCTAAACCCCAAAAGACCTGAATCCTAGACCCAAAGCCCTGAACCCTAAATCCTCAACCCCGAACATCCTACACTGAAACACCCACACTCCAAAAAAAACTCCCAAAAAACCGCAAAACCCGGAACTCCCACAGCTTCCGCTGCCCTTTCCTTTGCCCAAAGAGGGGAGCGGCCTGAGGAGCCATGCATCCGCGATTCAGCTCCACTTCGAAGTAGTAACCTTGTGTTTAGGCTTTAGGGTTTTAGGGATTTAGGGCTTTGGGGTTTAGGGATTTAGGGCTTTAGGGTTTTAGGGTTTTAGGGTTTAGGGTTCAGGGTCTTTGTAAAACTGTTATAACCCTAAACCCTAAGCCCTAAGCCCTAAACCCCAAACCGAGACACTAGGGCTTCTTTGTCAAAGGGAACCCTTGGGAATTCGAGGGCTTGTCATGGGTGTCCTAGGTTTCCGAGAAAGGTTCCGTAGGAGCTGAAACACGGGGAGTGTCTAGGAATCGGGGGCTTCGGGGTTTAGGATTTAGGGCTTGCTCAGGGCCTAGAGTTTAGGGCTGAGTCTTTTGGAGCGTTCCGGGCCCCATCGGTTTCCGGGTGTTTGGGCTTCGTAGCGCTTCAGGTCTACTGTGGGGATCAGGAGATGCAAGGGACTTAGCAAAGAAGGTTGTGTGAAGGTGACCTGCGGGTTTCCATAGGCTTTTTTTATATCTTGATTGGAGTTCTGAGGGTCGTGTATGCAATGATGTGGAGGGTCGTGGGTAGTTACCAGGATGATTACAAGCACCTTACTTGGATTAGAACGTAAGCATAGACATAGGTACTTTACTGACGAACCCCATGTGATCACTAGGCCCCCTGATTGGCTCGAAGGTAAGTGTTGTAACCTGCAGGACTTCATGGGCTGTTACAGGGTCAGGGCGCAACCCTAAGCGCAATCCGAATCCCTGAACAACTCCAAGCGTCGCAGGACGCAAGTCCGAATACTCTGATGCCCATTGGGGGTTAAGGTTTCGGGCTCAGGGCTTGCCTTTCTCCGGGTTCAGGGAAACCTGTATAGTTTAAGGTGTTAGGCGGGCGCCTTGCGCCTCAGAAGGTCGCTTACCATAGCTACCCTCTCCTTGCTGCTCCGAAGTTCATGGAGCTGGCGGGAGACTTCAATGCTTTCAGGCCAAGACAACACAAAGGCAGTCCAGAGGGTAATCATCTCATGAAGTTCCGCCTCCCTCTTGGCTTTCCAGGTTACCACGTCACGGTCCTTTACAGCAGCCATGAAGGTGTCCCCACCTTTCGGTCCAGTCTTCTGAGACTTGGGAGGGGGAGCAGGATCAGCCGTAGCACCCCTCAGAGTTGTCCGGGCGTCTGAAGGAAGCCCCGTACATACCATCAAGAGGGCTCCGATTCTCAATGGAGCCAAAGATGTCAGCCCAGACCCCTTGCTCCCACAACTGTCTAACAGGCCCAGGACTCAAAGATTGATGTGCTGCCGCTATAGCAAAATGCGTCTCGGCAGAAAGTCTGGCAGACGGCAAGCTGGTCGTCCTGCTAGGTCCCGGCACCAAGGCAGGCCCAACATCATTATAAATGCTTCCCGTGCCTCCACCAGCATCGCTAGCAAAACCAAAATCCTGATCAGCTTGCTCCTGAAACAAAGTACCTCGCTCACCACCAGGAGCAGGGTTAATAGAATCAGCCTCGGCCTCGAGGGCTTCCAAGGAACCAACACTGTGCATCTGCAAATCACCCACCTCAGGCAAAACATGCGCAGTGTCAGAAAGTTCTGGAGGGGCAGGCTCGTCCATGAGCTTATGCCTCAGGGCACAGATGACTGATAACACACCTGCGCACTTCAAATGATGTCAATGAGAGCCGGCGCCAGGTCCTGCAGTCTGCTGCAAGCAGCCAGTAGCCGCCCACAGTGGAGCTGCCAAGGAGCAACTCCGCTTGCGACAGATGCGGTCTGTCGCGACGGTCCAGGACTCGGGACGTTAGCGGCGTAGCCCGAAAGATACCAAGCAACAGCGTTCCTGAATGAAACTGATGCGGACGGATACGTAAAGGCGAGATGACCAGGGCCGGCGCAGTACCAGAAGAGCAAGAGCTCTCTGTCTGATACGAAGAGCCACTGGAAGAGGAGTCCACTTCCATGCACTACAAAAGTACGGAAGCTTACAAAAGTACGGAAGCTTGCAAACAAACTCTCCGGACCCACCTCCCACCCTTGAGACGATAATGGCAACAAACTCACATGTTTCACATGAGTGTCTTCGAAGTATTCAAAAGAGAGGTTCACTAACAAATCAGTGCAACCAAAATTTCTCCAAGTTTCCAACATCAAAATGTTGAGAAGGGAAATTCGAGAAGTATTGCTAATTTCAAAACTGAAATTTCTACACAAAGGAATAAGGTGGTTATCCCTCCGGGAGTGTGCACATAAGCCGGCTCATTTGAAGCGGGCATGACGCGCTTGACAGCGAAGATGAGTGGGGTTCCATGCGCATTCGTGCCCAGGCCCATCTGCACCAGCTTGCACAACTTCAGCAAACGCACTGCTCGTGCGCAATGATGCAGATGCTCTGCCAACGGAATGGCATTCAATATCTCCTTGACGTCCGACGACTTCAAGACAGCCGCGGAATCAAGCCATGCCCCGGGCTTGCGCAGCAGTGCACGACACAGCTTCAGGAGGACCACTGCAGTGGCAGGCGCCAAGTCGCGAAAAGAGCTCTGCGGGCTGCTGCAATTGCTGTCGCATGGAAGCTCTGCCTCCAGAACCGCATCCTGGTCGACCCCCGGGGTTTGTAGCTGCGAGGTCGAGGCGGCCAATCAGGTCGGTTACGAAGCTGGCAAAAATGCCATCCACGCGATCCATGTAGTCAGGATAGAAGCTGGCCAAAGCGCAGCGCGGCGAGCGGCAGCTCGCCTGCCCAAGCCTGAGGTGTGGATCCTAGTCGCGCTTGCTCGCAGATGTGAACTACAAGGCTATGCCGCAGAAACTTGGTCTTCGCCTTGGAGTGGAACTTGGCCTTCCCCATGTCAACAAGATGCGCCTTCTCATGTGCTTTAGTGTGCTCGTCAAAGACGCCGTGGAAAGCTTGCTTGGCTTCATCGCTCAGGCCGTAAATGCGAAAGCTGTAGCCCTTGAACTGCTCGAAATGTGCTGGCGACGCCGAGTGCACTGGGTCGTGCGCTTTCATGACGGCCTTGAACACGCCTGCAATGTTAGTTTCCAGACCGAAGCGTGCCGTCGTGATGGAAGCTGCAGCCTGCTCCACTTCTGCAGCCCGCTTGAACATAGGACGAGCATAGAAGAGTCCAAGACGACCACGTACGCCCAAAGGGTCATTGAGAACGTAGAGGTCTAGCGGGTCCTCGACGTGCAGGGCACCAGCAACGAGGAAAAAAGGACACATGACGGCCACGCCTTTTTTTGCCCCCATCGAAGCGGAGGCAGCAGGAGGAGGTGCCGGAGGTAGAAGACGGAGTTCACAGCTCTTGCCTCGGCGATGCCAAGCTGCATGAGGCGCTCTTGGAGGTCGTACTCCAATCTGCGCTCGACGTGCCGGGCAGCGACTCCTGGTGGCGGAGGCGCACGACAAGTACGGTTGAGAACAGTATTTACTCAGTATTTGCAGCGGGCCTGCCAGCCAACAAGTGCGGCGGTCAGCGGAGGTCATCGTCATAACGTCTCTCATATGCGGAGCACCATGAGCAGAACGCGAGAGCGCGCAAGGTCGAAGGAAGCGAGGCGCAAACAAGTCTGCAGCAGACACAAAGCTGAAGCCAGCTGCAACAGGCCCAGCAAGCGGAACGTGGTTCCCCACTGTCGAGAAAAAGTCCAAAGAGGCCAGGCTCCCGACCGAGGAGAGGAATGAAAAGGCTCGAAGTTCAGCAGCTCGGGCAAGACTGCATCCTGCACATTGTGACAGTCATGGCTGCTCTCCTATCGCTGACGCTACATGCATATAGCGCTCCAGACTGGGCAAGAAGCAAAGAGTCCGCAACCAGGAAGTGCCCGGCGAAGATGAAATAGATCGCGCAAAGAAACCTGCAAGTCGCACCAGTCAGAACACATATAACGGCCCACACCAAAGTACAGGAGCAAGGAGACCGCAGCCAGCAAGTGCGTCTTGAGGATGAAAACATCGTGCGCGAGTTTTTTACCGAGTGCCGACCTTCGCATCCAGCCCACACGCAAAGGCAGGCGGCATAGAAAGCATGCGGCTAATGCTGTATTGGCGGGAGCAGCAAAATTGCGATGCCGACCTAGAGAAGGTCACGAACTGGCGGGCAGAAACTGGTTGCAAAGAAGGCGCTGAGCAGGCGGTTAGCAGAGACAGGATGTACCCGAGCGAGGGACAGGGCAGGCTGTTAGGGCCAGGGAGGTTTAGGGCAAGGGGTCAACAGGCAGGCAGGCGGGCAGGCAGACACACTGGCCATGCAGAGGCCCAACTATCCCTTCTCTATACAGCGTGGTGTCAGAGTCACAGTGCTAGCGCGTTGCTTGCTATGAGAAAGTGCCAAAAGTGACGAAAGGAAGCAGAGCGTGCGTCGACTTTTTGTCTCCAGAAGAACCGTCGCGCCTGCACCCGAGCCGCTTCTGCAAGAAGTGCCACACTACAGCTCCTAGCAAGACTGCGACACTACGACGACGACCACGACTACCACGACTACTAGGACAACTACTCCGACTACGACCAGTACTACTAGTACTGCTACCCCCAGGACTACTACTACTACTACTACTACTACGACTACTACTACTACGACTACTACTACTACGACTACTACTACTACTACTACTACTACTACTGCTACTAGGACTACAACTAGGACTACTACTACTACTACTACTACGACTACGAGTACTACTATTACTACTACTACTACTACTACTACGACGACTACTACGACGACTACTACGACGACTACTACTACGAC